AAAATATTCTATGCGGATCGTGTGGGATGACACGAGTTGGCCGGTAAAAGCAGAATGGCCCCGCAGGAAACCAGTGAAAAGAAGAGAGAAAGAAAAAAAAAAAGAGGCACTATCAAATGGTAAATGCTCCTTGACTGCATTAGCATGGGCCGGAAGGCAGAACACCATGCGCTCAGTCACGATGCACGGTCTTGGCTGCGTTCGTATGTACGTGATGACCTCAAGCTTGGCAGAGCAAATATTTCCCTACTCGGCATTTAAACTTAGCTGCTAAATACAAACTATATATCTTCATCGTTTTTTCATGAACGGGGACATTGATTGTGTGTCAAGAAGTCAAGTTAGGTAATTTTTTCGAGGAAGCAACAGCGGGAGCATCTCTGGTACGGAATAAATGGGCCGTGGTTGGTTTTTTTTTTTTTTGTTTCTTGTTTGTTTTTTGTTTGTTGTTGTTGTTTTTTTTTTAATTCAATATCTTCGATTTTCACATTGGTTAGGGTTCCCTCCGTGGGGTCTGTATTAATGAAAGAACCCGAAATAAGAGCGGTTGAATCCCCTGTTCCAAGCCACTGGTCCTATACGCCAGCCAGTGAGCCATATACACGAGTGACGTTAGACTCATCTTCATGGGAATTCAAAAAGGTGGAACAACTATTCAAAGCGTCGATGAGTAATGTGGTGGTCAAGAAAATCGACCAAGTGCAGAATCTCTTCATGTGGGAAAAATATCGAAGGTAACGAAAAACCCGAGCTCACGCATATAAAAACTCTCCACAAGAATTCATGATGGTTTAAAGAAGAAAGGGGGTGAAAAGAAATTATCCCCCCCACTCCCGCACTGGACGCGATTTTTCTCAAATAACAAGCAATAATTTCCAAGAAGAATTTACGAGTGTTTTGATGTAAAACTGTAAAACGAAGGCTGTTCATCAACGGTGTTATCTACCCCTCCAATATTTCTTTACGGCGCGCAGCACGAAACATTCACGATCAGGCTCTAGAAAATTTGTCTTTTCTTCAGTAACGAAAACGAAAAGTTCCCTATCAGTCAAGAAATTTCCCAATTAAGATATGAAAGTTGAAGAACATCACTCACGAAATGTCATTGGATGTTCCTCAGTTTTAACTTGATGAATCATTAAAAATGGCTGTTTTGTGGAGTGAACGATTGATTATTATTGCCTATTACGTAGAGATATGATAGCAGAGATAACCTGTATTAAATGAGACGGCATTTTGTAAACTTGTGACGCAGGTGAAATAAATTATCAAATCTCTCTTTGTAGGAAAAAAGACTACATGACACAACTAGCAAACGGTGATCAACAGAGGGTCAACGAGAAAAGACTTTTTCATGGAACCAGTCCAGATTCCGTAGAGGCTATCTGTAAAGAGAACTTTGATTGGCGTCTAAGCGGCACTGCGACCGGTACTAAGTATGGTCAAGGAAGCTACTTTGCGGTGAAAGCATCCCACAGCCACAACTACGCAAAAGAAGATGCCAATAAGTCTCGATTTATGTTCATGGCCAAAGTCCTCGTGGGTTCGTATGTAAAGGGAAACCCCAACTATCGAAGACCACCCCACAAGCAACCTTTGAATGAAGCTGGTATCCTTTATAACGACTCCTGTGTGGATGACGCGTTAAAGCCAACTATGTTTATTGTCTTTGACATTGATCAGTTCTACCCAGAATATATCATCCAATATTGAACTGTTTATTTGCATCTGAAAAGATTCAATTCACAGAGAGCAACAACTTCCAATCCGAAACCTTGTTTCTCAACCACTCAATTTACGATGGGCTAGATAAACTTTGCCGAGACTACACTCGATTGCAAAAACATTGACCACCAAAAGTCATGTTTAATCCTTTACTTTTTCATTGTTCATGAAAATCTTTGTTTCATGAAAATCTATTCTTTTAGGAAAGCGTGGGTGGCTTCTACCATTTACCACGTGCAACTTGTTATGGCTATGATGTACATATGTACCCATAAAATTGTCCGGTTGTGAGAAGAAACTGTAGAATCTTCCCCACTCCCCCCTCGCACTCACGTCTTATCCAAACTATTGGATACGCCTATAAAACTGGTGGTATTTTCTGACCTCTCCTCAACATTTAATTTATAGCACATTTGTTAATGACTTTAAAAACAAACAGATGCCACAGATTACACTTCTACGTCCCTCAAAGCTGAAATAAGTCTCGTTATACTCACATTATCTTTGATTTCCTTCTATATGATATTTCATAGTGATGAAGATACTCCGCCTCCATGGGAAAGGAATGTTTTAATCGACGTTAACACCATGACCTCTCCATTAGAGTACGTGTGCACAGAAGACACAGACCGTTTGGAGCATCACTCTCTTCTGACAATTGATCCTCAATATAATGAAAGCAGTGGTGCTGAATGGAAAAGCTCTAGTATCATGAATAACACAGCGTTGGAAAATCTCCACTGTAACGAAACTGTTGAGGGACTATTTCACCTTAACCCATCTCAAGCAGATGAAAGGTGATTTGATTTCTTAGTGTAGCCTCTTTTTTGGACTCTAATCCATGGGGGGTTACATAATGGGCTAATCGAGTAACATTTCCCCTCCCCTCCGCTCCCACGCCCTTTCCAAAATCCTCGATAGGCCTTTAAAATTCAAGTTTTTTACTTTGACTTCTGCTCTATATTTGATGTACGGCACTTTTTTTAGGGACTTCAAAAGCAAACAGATGCCACAGATTACACTTCTATGTCCCTCCAAGCTGAAATACTCTTGTGATACTCAAATTATCTTTGATTTCCTCCTGTGTAATATTTCTTAGTGACAAAGATTCTCCGCCTCCATGGGAAAGGAATGTTTTAACCGACGTTAACGGCATGACATTGTCATTAGAGCACCTGTGCACAGAAGATGTAGAACGCGTAGAGTATCACTCTCCTCTAACAATTGATTGTCAATATAATGAAAGCAGTGGTGCTGAATGGAAAATCTCTGGTATGACAAACAACACAACGTTGGAAAATCTCCACTGTGACGAAACTGCTATGGAACAATTTCACCTTAACCCAGGCCAAGCAAATGAAAGGTAATTTGTTTTCTGCGTGTAATCTTTTTCGGGTTTGTAACACATGTGCGCGAATAAAATGGGTTGATCGAGTACAAATTTTGCGGCCCCCTTATACGTTATTGAAATCCCTGGATACCCCACTTATAACCCATGTCATTTTCTGGCCCCTCCTTAATATGTGTACAGCACTTTTTCAGGACTTCAAAACAAACAAAAGCCACAGATTACACTCCTACGTCCATCAAAGCTGAAAATAACTCTTGTGATGCTCAAATAATCGTTGATTTCCTCCTTTGTAAAATGTTGTTAGTGATGAAGATACTCCGCCTCCATGGGAAAGGAATGTTTTAATCGACGTCAGCAGCACGACCTCTTCATTAGAGTACGTGTGGCACTTTTTTAGGGACTTTCAAAGCAAAAGATGCCACAGGTTATCCTTCTACGTCCCTTAAAGCTGAAATAACTCTTTTGATACTCAAATAATCGTTAATTTCCTCCTTTGAGAAATTTTGTTAGTGATGAAGATGCTCAGCCTCCATGGGAAAGGAATGTTTTAACCGACGTTAACAGCATGACCTCTTCCTCAGAGCACGTGTGCACAGAAGATATAGAACGCGTAGAGCATCACTCTCCTCTGACAATTGATTTTCAATATAATGAAAGCAGTGGTGCTGAATGGAAAATCTCTAGTATAACAAACAACACAACGTTGGAAAATCTCCACTATGACGAAACTGCTATGGTACAATTTCACCTTAACCCAGGCCAAGCAAATGAAAGGTAATTTGTTTTCTAAGTGTAATCTTTTTCGGGTTTGTAACACATGTGCGCGAATAAAATGGGTTGATCGAGTACAAATTTTGCGGCCCCCTTCATGATACGTTATTGAAATCCCTGGATACCCCACTTATAACCCATGTCATTTTCTGGCCCCTCCTTAATATGCGTACGGCACTTTTTCAGGACTTTAAAACAGACAAAAGCCACGGATTAAACTTCTACGTCCCTCAAAGCTGAAAATAACTCTCGTAATTCTTAAATAATCGTTGATTTCCTCCTGTGTAAAATTTTGTCAGTGATGAAGATACTCCGATTCCATGGGATAGGAACGTTTTAATTGACGTCAACAACATGACCTCGTCATTAAAGCATGTGTGCGCAGAAGACATACAACGCTTGGAGCATCACTCTCCTCTGAAAATTGATTGTCAATATAATAAAAGCAGCGGTGCTACATGGGAAAGCTCTAGTATCACAAATAACACAACGTTGAAAGATCTCCTTTGTAACTATACTGCTGAGAAACCATTTAAACTTAACGATGGCCAAGCAAGTGAAAGGTAGTTTGTTTTTTTAGTGTGATCTTTTTTGGATTCGTAACACATGTGCACAAATGAAATGGGTTTATCGACTACAAATTTTGCGCCCTTCCCACCCTCTATTTAAATTCCAGAATACCCCACTTAGAACCCGTGTCATTTTCTGCCCCCCTTCCCCCTTAACAGTTCCGAAGGACCAACTGCTTACATCTTGCCAAACTCTCTCCTTGGTGAATACTCGGAAGGCATAGAATGCTTAGAACATCACTGTTTTCTGTCCCCTCATTTGCAATATAATGTAACCAGTGATGTTGAATGGAAAATCTTGGAAACGACAGACAACACAGCGTTGGAAGAGCTTTACTGTGACGAAAATATTGAGAGATATTTAAGCTAAACCCAGCCCAAGCTATCGAAGGGAGTTTCTTTTCCTAATGTAATTTCTGTTGGACTTTATCATATGCGGAGCAAAATTACTGAATGCTGATTGGCCGAGACAGAGGGCTTTTTTTCTTAATCAGGAGGGCACTTTTGGGAAAACTTAGAAAATACGCGTGAAGTTAATCCTTAATTGCCCTCAGGCCCGTGCTACTAGGTATAAGAATCAGCTGTAAAATATTGTTGTGATACTCAAACAATCTTTGATTTCCCCTTTTGTGATATTTCTTTGTAATAGAGATACTCTGCCTCCATGGAAAAAAGATATTTCAATTAAAGGTATCAGCATTCCCTCTTCATCGGAGCAAACGTCGGGAAATTACGCTTTAAGCTTTGGAAATTTAAGGCAGTTGTCTACTCCACCTTGCCCAACTTACAAACACAACCTGCAGTTTACGAACACGAAATGGTACTCGGAAGATGTCGGATGTTTGTACAACAAGGAACTCTCGGTAAACCTATCTTTTATCTGCATCCTCAGTCACGCTCATTTTATTAGTGCATCTTTAGAGTGTGTTAACAATTTTTGACTTCGAGTGCTCAAAGTCATACGCAGCTATACCTTTAAGATCTTCCCATGCACTTTTGTTTTTTTTCCCACAACATTCTCGAAATAGCTATAAATTTTTAACGAACTGGTGTCCTTCCAGTGTCCTCTCTAGGCACTTCTTGATATTATTGTAAGGGTTGTTTCTTCATTGTTTACGATAAATAAAGACAGCACAGTAGCCAGTAAATACTATCAGGCAAGAGAATATTGATATTCTCTTGAATCAGACCCACCATATTACACCTTGCAAAAATACTCAAAACTTCAAAAGATAAGAAGATAATTACTTGTAAAACTAGCTACCTCAAACTTGACTGCGTAAGTCGATCTGCACTGATATCAAATCAAATTTGCATTCTGTTACAAAGGGAGGAAACCTGCGAGAACTGACAAAGCAAGCTTGTCTTAAAGTGCTACCGCAAATTGCTACAGACTATAAATTCGATTTCAAGGCAAAAGATCAGAGGTACTACCCGATCTTTCAATCAAAAAGAAGCGTGGATCAAGGAAATATTACATTGCCTACAAAAGGAAAGGTGAAAGGATGGCAAGAAAGACTTGTACATAACGAGGAAGTCAACTTCTTAAAATGGTAGGAATCTCTTGTTCACAGATTGTAATGATCGGAAGGATTGTAACAAAATGTATCTTTAATTTCTCAGTAAAAAGTTTTTCTTTCACTTCACTTCGGCAACTGCATCTTGAAAACTGAGAATAAATACATACTAACAAGCGAAAAGATCGGAAGGGAAAATACTTGGTTGCAGGTCGACGTCACGACATAGGGGCCAAGCACGCAAAACAACAACATAAAATTATTTGCCATCTATCGCGTGCGGACAAAAAAACTTAGAATTCATTCAAAAGCGTGACTTTTTTATTATTCTATTTTAAGTTTTCATTCAGTATTTCAATTCACGCATGGGGAAGCCAAAGAACCGTGCGATTACGGGACTGGTCTGTTTTTTTCTAAACTGACTCACGTCAACTCGTCAGACCCTACACACGTCAACCTTAAGTACGGTTTTCTTTAGGATTTTGCGTGCGGGTCGTAAGAGTCAGACGATAAAAACTGTAAGTATATGCGGTGAGTGGCAATTCGGTAGCCAGCAGTGGCTATTTCTCGAGCTGTGAAGCGGCGAGGTAAATATTAATCTCTAGGCACCTCCACCTCGATGAATAGGTGTTAACTATCAAAAGCCCCGTATGGACACGCAAAAACCCCTTCCCCGCCCCCACCTCTCCCCTCGCTACGAGAGTCGCATGCTATGGCGTGAGGTGAACCCGAAAAAGTACGAAAAAATGAGTCGAGTAAGCATTTTTTGAAAATGCACAAGAGGACCAAACTGAATGGGACCATGGGGTCTTTTAAACAGTCAATCCTTTCTGTTTTCGCTTTTTTCAGGGCTCCTTCTGGGAATTCTATATCAATAAGAGTACCCGAAAAAAGACCAGTTGTTCCAAGCCACTGGTCCTGTACACCAGTCAGTGAGCCATGTACACGAGTGACGTTGGACTCATCTTCATGGGAATTCAAAGACGTTGAACAACTATTCAAAGCGTCGATGAGTAATGTGGTGATTAAGAAAATCGACCGCGTGCAGAATCCTTTCATGTGGGAAAATTTTCAAAGGTAGGGAAAACCCTGAGCTCACGCAAATAACAACTCTACATAAGAATTCATGATGGTCTAAAGAAAGGGCGTGAAAGGAAATCAACCCCCCCCCCTCCCCATCCCGTCCTTCCTCGCACTGGACGCTTTTTCTAAAATAACAAACAACAATTTTCAAATGGAATTTGCGAGTGTTTTGATGTAGTACGAAGGCTGCTCGACAGTGTTGTCTACCCTTCTAATATTTCTTTACAACGCGCATCACGAAACGTTTACAACCAGCCTTTTTTACCAGCAAGCCAAGCAAATTTGTCTCCTCTTTTATAAAGATAGCGAAAAAATTCCAACTTTCTTCATATCCCCATGTAATATTTGAAAATTGGAGAATACCACAGAAGAAATATCACCGCATGTTCTTTAATTTTAGCTGGACGCGTTCTGTCTCGTACAACGTTGAAGAAACATTTGTGAGCAAATTGATCGTTATGGCCCACATACTATGTAGAGATATGATACCACAAATAACCTGTTTTAGGAACACGTTCTATAAACCTGTGACGCATGCAAGATATATTTTTAAATTTCTCTCGCTAGGAAAAAAGACTATATGAAAGCAGTAGCACATGGCAATGAACAGGGGGTCAACGAGAAAAGATTGTTTCATGGGACCCGTCCAGATTCCGTAGAGGCCATCTGTAAAGAGAACTTTGATTGCCGTCTAAGCGGCAGTGTAAACGGAGCTTTTTATGGTCGTGGAAGCTACTTTGCAGTGAATGCATCCCTCAGCCATCATTACACGCAAGCAGATGCCAATAAGTCTCGGTTCACGTTCTTGGCCAAAGTCCTTGCGGGTTCGTATGTGAAAGGTGACTCCAGCTATCGAAGACCGCCGCCGACGGAACCGTCAGATCGAGGTACTGCCCGCTACTATGACTCATGTGTGGATAACGAGTCGGAGCCTACGATGTTTATTGTCTTTGACATCAATCAGCACTACCCAGAGTATGTCATTCAGTATCAGTCTGATTAGATGCGTCTGAAAGGATTCAATTGGTTGAGAACAATAACGTCCAATCTGTAACTTTCCACTTCAACCATTCAATTTGCAATGGTCTCTGTACACTTTCTAGAAAGTACATCTTTCAGGCAAGCCGCGGATAATCGTGTTCGACTAAAAGTTAGGACGTATATAGTGGCAAAGGAAAATGTTTCAACTTTTATGTCTTTCTTACTTTCGTTTTTTTAAGATTAACAAAGTATTCAAAGGTATAGTAAAATTTGCACGGGAATAGTAAGAAATTAATCAGAAGGCGCAATTTATTTCAAACCTTCATTTTGCATAGTGTAGTCCAATTTAAGAATTATTTCGTCAATACGTGAGAACTTGAGTTATTATATTCTTCTCCAAAAAAACTTCGAAAACTCGCAACTTAGGCCTTAGTTATACCTTTTTGCTCGTAGTAAGTCCAAGGCCATGTTACCAAACAACACTGTCTTTTCCAACTCTCATAAGGAGAGTCGGGAAGGACATATTTTGTGTGCGGTGGTCAAACTTAGCATGAATTTGGTGTGACAGCGAAAATGAGTCAGTACGCGTTATTTACTTGGCCAAATGTTGTAGTTTACTTTAGTTTCCACAATTTGGTTATTAAATCAGAATTCGTAAGCTATTTTAGCAACCTGAAAAGGGCAAAAAATTGTGGTTTTATAATTTAATGTTAACTACTGTAATACATAAAGGATTTTAACATTTTTAGAGACTGACAAAAGGCGACTCAGCTTTAGCTTGTAACATATGATTAATGACAAATAATGCTACTGCGGGATTCTCAATAGTAAACTACTTGATAAAAGCTGAAATTTTTGTTTTCATTCAACAACGATACGACTGAAATGGTAGTGCTTTTGTAATCATGCAACACTATGTAACAAGTAATAATAAAACGCTGTTAATTCATTACTTGTTTATTGTTCTGTGGACTGATATTCAAAAGTGAGTCTCAAACCCTTATGAGGAACTAGGTGCTACTGCTTTGTTATATTACTTTTGAGAGGATTAGTAAAGAGGGCAAGTTTCCAAAGAAACTGTGGTGCTGCGTAGCTGGAGGATATAACAAGATAATTTGGTTTTATCACTGACTGAGCTAATAATGTAAATTGGCCACTGCGAGGAGTTTCTAAAGCTGACTTTTCGAGCGTTATCCTTTTCCAGATTCAATTATTGAATAATTGTTTTAGTACAATTGCTCAGGTGCTTTCGAATTCTGTTGTAAATCCTCGTAGTTGTTGAAACCATTCTATTACAATATTTTTAATTACTCGTATCAAGATTAGCAGCCGGTCTCCACTAGAATTTAACGGGTTTCTTCAATAAGGAAAAACTGAAAAGTGTTACCCGGTTTATCGCTTACTGGGTGACATGGACAAAACGTGAGGCCGCCATTATGAAATTTAGCGTCCCTGTTACAATCAAGTGAGGTGATTATAGCGAGATATGCCCCATTTTTCGACCCATCAGAGCGCGCGCATCTCCAAAATCACGAGACAATTATACCAATATTTGATAACTCATAATTACAAGACAATTCTCGATCCACACTTCGAGCAAAGATGAAAATGTGAAAACTTATCCGAAATACAATCATTTTCCAATTCTCACAAACAATCCTGTGGTGGAAACCAGGCCACAGTGCTCCTAAATCTTCTACTGAAGTGTTTCTTGATTTTTTTTTTCCTTTTGTGGATGTCGTTAAAATTAGTGGGGATGTCTGCAATGACGTTTTCCAACGCAGTCTCCCTCGAAATGACTTTTTTAATAAAACCTAAATTTACTCATTCCTTGTGAAACTTTACCAAATCCTATTTCGAGGTAATATTTACAGTGTGCTTCTTCGTTTCATCAGGATTGCATATGGCCTCTTCATTGATTTCTTTAACTGCAACGAAGCGGCCACGAGCGTGATTTCATCTGCAAAATCTACTCTTCCAAATGGGTTTTGATGTTTTAATAGCAATTAAAGCTATCAAAAGAAAAGGGTTAAAAAAAATCCGCCACCATCACAGAAAACAGTGTAAAAACTCTCTTCGCCAACAAAATTGTTAAAGAAACTGAACATTTCATAGAAACGAAAGTGCAAATTCCGAGAAAATGACAATGATCCCCTAACATGAGTGGGGTGGGGGAAATTGTCCCAGATAAGCGCCTTTCACCTTTTTACCTTTTCCACCTCGATCTGAGGACAAAATTTTATTTATTCAGTTAAATACCATAACAGCTGATTTGCGCAATGACATCATTTTCACAAATATGTTTGATGCCATCTTCACAGACACGGTTGGCCAGGCTTCACCCTTGGTCAACTAAGTGTTGGAAAGCATATTAATTAAAAGTAATTATTGTGACTTGCTTCTTTTTCTAACACCGTGTCCATGCTACCGTGCTGGAAGCAGAACATGTTCTATCATAAATTTCACGACGCGCAAAAATTTATATTCCGTACATCTTTAGCACAGAGTACATTTCAGAGTGACATTCATTCTTGTTTTTTTTTAATTAGGCCCTCAAAAGTTGTTTTCAAGTTCCTCGTGTTATTTCTCTCGCGTGATTCGTGCAATATCTTAAGAAAGTCCACTGTTTTTTGAGAATCGTACTCATTTAACTCATCTTTCCCTATCTCTTATTCCTTAAAAATTTAAGTGACTGTATCTTTATCCGGCAACGATTACTTTATTTAAGGAGCTTTGATGGCAATAAATCCGAGGAAATCAGTTTTTTTTTACTCTAAAGATCAACGTTAAAAAAAACAACGACGTTTCGACTTAACTGTTTGATCTTGAAAATTCGTTTTATTCGCGAAATTTAACCAAAACTGAACAAACAGAGTGATTCGATCCATGAAAATATATTTACCTAATCGATTCAATTTTAATGTTTCTTTCGCCATGGCATTTTCTATTATTCTTGCCGCAATTTCCCGCATTGTTTCTCTGTGAATATTTTAGAGTTTTAGTCAGTATCTTATTAGCATTGTACAATTGATTATATAAGCGCACGAAGAATCCCATCCTTCAACTTGAAAATGACCTTTAAGCGGTCGAAACGTCGTTGTTTTTTAACGTTAATTTTTATAGTATAATCAGTTTCTAAAAATTAGATGATTCGAAATCAGTTTTGATGCATTTTAGCCTCAAATCATCATTTGGGATATCTCTGTTTCGACGCTACAAACGAAAATAAAGCGAAAAGCTTGAAGACTTCCTCTTAAATTACGCTTGCTCCATTTATCCGCCTTGACATGTTATATTTGAAACGGACCTCACTCTCGTGAAAAAATCACGGAATCGCCACTCCTGTGATATGCTTCGAGAACTATAGAATTTTGAACGTCATAAATTTAAATACAATACCAGGGTCTGTTCAAACAGTAAACAATGTTCAAACGACACGGGAAGTCTGCCGCTGCCATTAAGCAAATTCTTAGACACAAGATGCCTGTCAAGAGCGTCTCACAAAAACGTCGCGAAACCGTCGAACAGACGGACAAACCGGAGAATGTTTGGCATGACAAGGCTTCCAACGCGCTGGAACGGGCCAAGATGCACTTTGATTCTTCATGTACCATCGTCCGGAATCAAGCAAAGATCATTTTCGACAAAATGGATCACTTGAGCGGACATTCTTCGGCTGGTTACGCTGCAGTTGCGGTGATAAAAATTCTCGCCATATTTTTCTTGATTATTGTTGTGGTCGAGTGCATATTTCATTTTCGATCTTATTTCTGGTTGTTGTGCGGATATATGTGTTCTCTCTTATATTTCGCTGTGGTGATAGTAGTGCGAGGCGCTAACATGACATTGGTGAGCGCATGGGCTATTTTTAAGTACGTCTTCTTCTCCATCGGGAAAATGCTTTTGGCATCGACAAGAATTTCCATATATTACTTAAGGTCCTCCATGATATTCGCTTTAAATGGCCCGGTTACTATTGAGATTCCCACACGATGGACCTTGAATTTGAGCATCGACTGGAGAAGTTTTTTCGAGCTGCTTTGTTTGTATGGAGCAGTGAGAATGGTGTACTTTTGGATCAAATATGGCACAAGAAGTTTAAGTCACAAGCCGGTTTCCAGCGCTGTTAAAGAGGCCAAAAGGCATTTTTATACTGTGTCAACCATCTGCACTAATCACGCAAAGATTATTCATGATAAACTTGATCGTTTGAGCCAACATTCACTCGCTGGTTTAGCAGCGACAGCGGCCATAAAAATTTGTGTCATGTTTGTTGTGACGGCCGTTGTTGTCAAGTGCGTGTGGATAATGCTAGGATATCTTTCTACTAGATCAATCCAGCTCTTGTATGATGCAGCGATGTTTATTATTAAAGGCAAGAGAATGCTCATGAATCATATGAGTGCCTCCTTTGAGAATCTCTTGATTTCCTTCTGGAAAACTTATAAGGGATCAACTATAGCTAACTTTTCATGTTACCTTATTAGTATTATGCAAATTTGCATTATGTGTGGTGCACTGATTACTCTTTGCTCAAAGACCTTGAACAAATATAGAGGAACAATTCAGCAAGCCGTCAGTTTCTGGAATGGTTTCTATCACAGTGCTGCTACTCGGGCCAAGAAATGCCTGTGTTCTTTATTTACCGCCGTCAATATCCAATCAAGGCTAATTCAAATCAAAATTGATCGTTTGATCGGACATTCGTCGGCTATTAACGCGATAGTAAAGGTGATCAAAACTGTAGCTATTTTGTTTATGTTACGATCTTTCAATTACTTCCTTCACTTGGTTGTGGCATACATCATCAGAGTTCCAAGCATAATCTGGGAAAATGTGGTTGCTATTTTAGAATATGTTCGAAATGCTAACTCGGAGATCTTCCTTGCACTCACCAGACTTGCCTTTAAGTGCCTAACATCGATTTCTTCGCTTTCTTCGAATTGCTGCACTGTTACATATTACCAAATAAATTTGATCTCGAACTCTGTCGTCAGTTTAACAAACAGTTGGAATGGTATTTTACTGGTATGCTTCTTGTTTGGGGTACTGATGCTGGTGTTACTCCTCAGAGCTACAGCTTTTACTAGCAACTTGTTAGGAGGTAACGTACTTGCTGTTGAATGGTAGGCCGAGGCTAAAATATGTAACTGACTGCCAACTGTGGGGACTGACATACCGATCAGTTGACGTGACTGACTAACTGACTGACTAACCGACTGACCAATTACCTACGAAAAAATCGGTACCGCCGAGTGACTGACGGGCTGATTGACAGGATGAATGACCGCCTGGTCCATGGTGGCAACCTACTCACTGGCTGACTTAGTATTTGATAAATTAACTTATCAACTGACTAACTGACTGGCTGACGGAGACGAGGTACCTCAGTTGTTGGCGCGCTAATTCCCTAATCAAGTGGATAGGTTTAATTTCTCGATTGACATGTTGGTCTTTTAAATTATGCAGTGCTCTATTTTCTCCACTTTTCCTCTGCAGCTGGTTGCAAGTCCACGCCTTACTGTTGGCAGTTCAAAGAGAAAGATTCTTATTCGTGGAGAAGTTTTGGCTCTTCCGACAATGTGGCTTTGGAAGAGCTTTATTGTGACGTGGATAATCTAGAAGTTAAAGTGAACCTTAAAGATACTGCATCAAGGTAAGACAAAAGAGGAAAGAGTCAATGCCTAAATATCGCAGTAAGGAGGCACTGTTTCGTTGAGTTGTGAGATATTTCGTTTTTGCATTGCAAAGACTGTGTACCGTGTTTATTAGCATGCTAAGGTGATGAGAGGTAAACAGCAGTATTGAACGGCTTTGCACTATTAGGTTCGGCCCATGAATTTGTCAGCGTTGCACACTAAAATGCTTTTGATTCTGTTTCCTTACATGATTGGGTGTGATTGTCCAATTTGATTGTCCAATTTGATTGTCCGGTGAATCGCAGTTCTGATTAAGAACTTCTTGTAGATTACTAAAGCAAAAGCCATCGTGAGAACTAAGTGGGCCCTTGACTCTCAGTAATACCTTCCCTCAGTCTATCGAAATGTTAGTCTGTAGAAAGGACAAAAATCCCTTTCAAGACCACTTTCGTCGGGACGTTAAGAATACACTATCAGTCATTACTCTTGGGTTCAAACCACTTACCTAAAAACAAATTTCATCAAAGCAACGGTAAGATTATATGCTAAAGCTGATTGCACGAAATCATTTCAACACCGTTTCACCAGAGGCCCGACATGATTATTCCTCATTAAGTTATCATCACCCCAATGTATCGTCTTGGAAGGCATTATGACTTTACTTCTACTCTGTAGTGTTGTTGTGACACCATCATCGCAGATGTCAGTTAATTTCGAGGAGATGTCCATGCACTCACCCCTCTCTACCCGGTTATTGCTCCGTCGATGCTCGACACCATCTTACATACAGGAGCCGAACAACAAGTCATCCACATTGTGGGTTTGGTATTGGAAAGACAACGATGGTTGGAAGAAATACACTGAAACGAAAGTGAGCAATAGAGGAGGAAACTAGTAATGCTTTTCATTCATGAGGGCCAGCAAGGTTTTCAATACAAATATCTGTAACTAGAAGCTTCTGTAAGTTTCTGTTTCTGTGGTATGTTCAAGGGCCTGTGCTTCACACAAAAAGTGCGGTGAATGGCTTCTTGTTTAAGTGAGTGAGCGTAATCGATAACTCAATGCATAATAGGGTTTGGTGAATGCGACACTATTGGCGTGAGTGAAGGTGTTTTTGGAAGAATATTAGGCCAAAAACGCTTTGCTTTTCACTTTTTTTAGCAGTCTTCTGGGATTAAGCAAGAGAAGATAGAGGCTGCCTATTTGAATAAAGATCGTATTTATTCCTTTCGAAACGGTTCTCACAATTACATCGTCAAATTCTACGAAACACCTATGTACCAAATGAATACGGACCCACATTTCCCTACCAAGCGACAAGTTAGAAGGAGACCATTGTTTGTTTCAAAATCAGTACCTGAGAACACAAATAGGTAAGTTACCGCATATTGTGATATGATTATTGCTACTGACTGATATGCAATCCGAAAGAAATATAAGGGACCTGGCCTGCTCGATTGACATAAAGCAACCCCTGTATTGTTGTCGTCTCAATTGTTATTCGATGGGAAGGGGTCGGGGCGTTCATTGTGTGAGGTCTTATCATGTGCTCGTTATCATCTGGGAGGGAGCGTGTGTACTTGTTTCAATATAAATTTGATTTGGATTTTGTTATAACTATCATCACTAGTTCTTAAAAAGCTAGGTTTTTGTTAAGAGCCAGCACGTATTTCCCTGTAACTGGAGCATGTGATTATCGATGTTCCTCTATCTAACACATCTCATTTTTAAATCGTTTTAGGTATCATACGGGCAAGGCTAAAGATTTTGAACGAAGGCGTTTGAGAAAGCACTGCAAAGAATACCGAACTGTAAGTCAACGTTTTCATGAAACATTGCCGGAACTCAAGGCCTCCATATTGATGGTGGAAGAAATTCGGAATGACGAGTTACGCGAGAGATACGAAAGGTGAGACTTAACTCACTATCTTGTTAGAAGATTTTTACAGAACTTAGTAGGAACAGCCACCCAAGCACGAAGTGCTGAGGCTTTATTCGAAATAATCTTGTTTTTTCTTCTAGTTTGACTATGCCTGAGTCACAGTCGGCCATTACGTTCACATAGCTTCGCCACCAAACGCTTGACAACTACACTCTTTTACTGATTAACCTTTTCTTTGTCCTTTTCCCAATAGTAAGCGCGAACGAATTCAAAGGAAACTAACACTTACAGGGTACGATGAGATCGAAAAGTTGCTTTTCCATGGTACAACACCAGATGTTGTTGATGCAATCTGCAAACATAACTTTGACCACAGATTGCGAGGGAAGAACGGGACACAGTATGGAGAAGGAAGCTACTTTGCTGTGGATGCCTCCTACAGTAATAACTACAGTAGTGATGATGGCGAGAAGACGAGATACATGTTTCTGGCAAGTGTGTTAACAGGGGAATCAAAGCTTGGACGCAGAAACTTTCGTCGACCGCCTCTAAAAGATCCAAGCAATCCTACTAGCGATTTGTATGATTCTTGTGTTGACGACGAAAATCGACCAAAGATCTTTGTAATTTTTAATGACGAACAGTGCTATCCTTCTTATTTGATTAAATATCACTTGAAATAGGTTTATTTTTCGAGGCCATATGCATCACAATGGTAAACATTCAGGAACAAGCGCTTTCAATAATCCTATCAGTTGCAGGGAGATCACGAAATGAAACCTCATTAAGTAAAGGGAAAAATAGATTAAAAAAAAAGATACAATGACAAACGGAATTTACTACAGAGTGCTATAGTTTGATAGGCCGTAAAATTTTCACAACGTATAGCGTGAA